TTACTAGGAAGTGCGAATTCGAAAAATTTATGTAAACTGAGGCAATGTGCACTTCACGTGATATTGTGCTTATGAAGTTTTGGTTAGATTTGTCGGGTCAAACAGCGAGGCTTTCGTGAGAACTTATTCAACTTTGAAGATTTGAAGATTTCAAGTATTTTTATTCGACTTAAATATTTGAAGATTTTAAGTATTTCGAAAACCATCACCATATATCTTCTCAAAATCCAACCGCTATGGTACATGAGCGTGTCATTTTGACATTTTGAACATGCGCCTGCTCACGCGGTCATTGACCTACCGATCATTTACCAGCTGGATTAAGTGAAATTTCAGGACTGTCCTTGTGAATCGCGACCTCCTAATCGTGACTGAACGACCGACAAATGACGAGCGATTAAGCTCAGTGATTCTCAATGACAGAAACACAGCGGTCAGTCTATTGCGAGTATCGCGTCGATTGCAAGTGAGTATCGCGTTAATGCATGTATCGCATGATGCCATGTCTGTCAGTGTACGGTTGCGCGGTGTGCGGAATGCACGACAGCTTGCGTAATTTACAAAAGAATTACAACGAATAAAAATCATTACAGTACAGGTGGTACATCGGTTTTCTGACTAAGGTGCAGCCAAAAGAACTGAGGTCATTTTATTTGTTTCAGAACCTATAAATACATGTTTTAACAATATTTTACACATAAGTGGCATTAAGAGATCAAAAACTGGTCTCTCTTCTATCAACATGCACTTCAGCTCTTATTAAACGGTAATCAATATAAATCAACTACACAATAAATTATCTGGCAGTGTTTCGAACGAGTTTTCACAGCAGTAACTCCATAAACCTTGATTATGCACAGCATAGCTAATCAATCCTAAAGGTTTAGCGTTTCATCGTAAGTTCACCAAGAATTTAGATTTTAGAAGCAATGGAAACTCCAAGTAACCAACGCATAAATTAGGTTAGCCGAATTGGTTTTACGCCGATTAAATTTTTATACCAATAAAAATTCATCTATTTTCCACAGGTATTCACTATGCTCATATTTTTCTAGCTTGACAGTTCACGCCGCGACCTCAAGCTGTCACTGGATCAGTGTTGCATGCTAGTGTCACCACGATACGCGTCTCCAGGAAGTCATCGAGCGAGCGATTGTTGTAGCGCCGTGGGCGCCTGTCATGCAGAACGCGCGGTGCGTCTTGGCGGCAACTGTCGTCGTAAAATACTACTGTTTTCACGAGGGTTGAGAAACACTGAAGTTCTATCCACCTTTGATAATTGAAGTTTATATTAAATAAAAGTATATTCATGTTTCAGGTAGCCTTATTAATTCAGGTATATGCGAGATGAAAGTAAGTTTATGTCTATGCCTTTAAATAGATTTCCTGATCACGTATATACTCGTATAACTATGCAAGACAATTGAGAGTTAAATTCATGAATGTTGAGAAATTCACATATGCGCTAATATTGAAAGGGATTCACGATAGGAATATTCCTTGAAACAAAATATAGGTTATTAAGCAAACAGAAGTTTATTTCATTGACAAGCATTCAACCGCTCGTAGTAGATTCAACACTCAAGATTTAATTCCTTTAGGAGATTTTTAAGAATTTTGTCAATTTTCTCAAATGATTGCATATTACACAAAGCAATATGATACACTCAAATTTACCGATTATTTCGATGCACAAGAGCCGTATATTGCAGCACCATAGTCTGCACGAACTGGGACAGCAGCACCAGGAAGCTCTTATCTCTTACGGTACTATGCCTGATGTTTATACTCTGACAGCACCATGCACTAAGTCGCCAACATGCTTACAAATGTACCGGCCACTGAGAGCACTATGTACTAAAGTCGCCAACATGTTAACAAATGTACCGACCACTGACTGCACTATGTACTAAAGTCGCCAACATGTTAACAAATGTACCGACCACTGACAGCACTATGTACTAAAGTCGCCAACATGTTAACAAATGTACCGACCACTGACTGCATCTGTCTCTTATACACATCTAGATGTGTATAAGAGACAGGGTATAGGCAAAGCAGTAACCTGAGATATACGCATTGCCTGTAGCTCCCTGACTTGTGCCGGTATAGGCAAAGCAAGTAACCGGTTACGTGCCGGCCCCTGAAGTTATCGAATGACCGGGGCAGCGCAGCTCTTCTCAGCTGATCGGGCACTGCAAGTAACCTCCGTTAGTCGTCACGATTTTCCTGCTAAGCTGATGTAGGTCGCGCGTAGACGTTTTCTCCACTGTTATCCAGTAGCTCTTACTTTTCAAAAATACATTGGTTTAGCCTTGAAAATAAGACGATCAGCGGTACGAGCACGCAAATGTTCAAAAGCAGTAGAGAGGGTGCAGATAAATGTAGGAATAATATAAATCTGTAAAGGAAAAACTTTAAAAAACCATTAGCACAACCCCTCTTGGTTCCGGTGATACAGGGACAAAGCATCACCTAGTAATAATAATAATGATCAGTAATAATGAGTAATGATAATTAAAATAAATAATGCTTCGTTGTGACGCGTGGTAAAAGATTCCTCAACATTCGGAAAAATACGAAGTGGGCCTGGGTTAACAGTTCGGGACCATATCGCACTCGGGACGTACCGTTATCCTATCAGGCGTTTCGCTCATCAGAGCAGCAATAACGCGGAATTTCTCGGCCACGAAGATGAAGATAGGAAAGACACCTCAATTCTCTGCGTCTAGCAATGTAAAATGACCTCAAAGTTACGAGTTTATTAAATCGAAGGCTTTCATAGCTCTTTGCCTTTTCCAGTAAAAGGTTCTATCAGTTCATTCACATTACACTTACAGCAATAGTTTAAATACAGTATATACTTAGTGATTTAAAAAATCTTAACAATTTTCCGTTAATCTCGGTAAAATCCAAATCTATAATTTATAATTATTTGATGTACGAAAAATTGCTTTATAGGTTGATAGTCCATGACAAATTATAACTTTACTATAATGCTGATAATTATTATATTTTGAAATGATTTGCGCATTATATTGCTGACAATTCGATTTAACCTGCTGCTTTAGTCTGGGTTGAATATCGCATACGGCGCACGTGACGCTCGACTTCGACTCAAGGGTTTAAGTCTTTAAAAAAAAAAACAGAACAAAGCGGTGGCTCAAAGTCAGACGTCCATAGAAGTCGGGGTTAATTCATGTCTGGGACGTGACGGGAAGCAAGTCGTCCTTCAAACTTAAATGAATTTCGTTTACGATACTGCAGTGCCCTAAAGTCACTAGCGGTGACTAGAAATAAGGCAAGGACTCCAATAGGCGTTCATTTAACGGCCCTTTGTCCAATGACACATTAACCATTGCCAAAGCTCCTCGCTTATTGAGTCGTGATACCGGCAGTACCGTCAGTAAACGAAGGGTTAACACGATTTTGTGATAATATATATCAAATTAATTCGAACAACGACAATATATTGTAGTTATTCAGAGAAAAATTAGGTAGGTAACTCATCGAAAATACGAGTTACCTTGTAGGTACGTACTAGATAATCTCTTTAAAGTTGGTTGCGTCTATCAATTTAACTAGAAGCAAGGATGAGTGGAACACAGAACCCATAACTGCGATAAAAATTGGAATGAGAAGAAACGAAACCAATTCTATAACTCGAAAAAATTACGCCAGCCAAACGTATAATTAAATTTGGTGTAACATTTGAGATCAAATACTCCAGCTCCAACAAAATTTATTAAAATTTTAATGGGATCAGATCCGTTTCTGACTAACTGATATTGCCTTTTCAAATGATTATTTACTTATAAGAGAATAGATTAATAAATCAGTCAAGCTGATCAAATTCGCTCAAGAAATAAGTACGAATGGCCATAAATATCAAGATAGTCGATCGACAAGAAACGGAACCAGATTTAATAGTTTTCATTTTCAAGAATGCGGTCACTGAAAAGTCTGAGCTGTGGTGTACGAATTCTTCATTGTTGTGGATGCATGGCTGGACTGCGGCTACCACGGTCACAGCTCCTGGATCTCGGACAGCCTTTCCAGTGTCACAAATTCTCTCTGCAGACCAACCTGACTACGCTCTTCACCGAATATTATTATCTCTTTCTAGGTCACGACAAAGATTTTCGATCTGGGTATTGCGGATATCTGAACAGGCAAAGAATGTCGGACGCGATTCACCTTCACGGAATGGAACTGCATAAATAAATTAACTCAAATATTTTACATATAATTATTAGCATGGATCATTTTCATGATGAGGAGACGGCGCTTCATGAAATGGTGAGGAGATTTTGCAGGGGCTTCGGTCAGTTTAATTGTAACCAACTCACAGTCACTGCTAGTAATAGATCAGTCTAGATGCATCGTAAATATTTCAGAACTTCCAGCAAGTCCCAAGGATTGCCACAAGCTTTGAGACAGCTTGATTTTCCGGTAGTAATTAGGGACAGATTATCAATAGGTAGCTAAGCGTTTGAGCTTAATAACAAAACTATAGTGTAAATCTCAATTTTTGCAAGATGACCTCCATGAGTCAACTTGCCAAAATATTTATATCAATCCAAAGTGAGTAGGTACTTCATTGTTGGACAATATGGAGTAATCCCAATTCCCAATGCGAAGTGCACCATCGCAAATGATTCGTTCTGTGCTGGACAAACGAAAGTGCTCACATGATCAAATCGCCGAGAATGCCAAGATGGTAAAGAGCCATAAATGCCCTGTGTTGTGATCTGTGGCACTGAGAGGTAACATTCCAATAGACAGCCTTATAGTTATAGGTATTTGTAGAAACGACTCCAGCATTGGCGTTCACAGAACTCGAACCTACAGATAACTACAAGAAGGCGATATTCTAGCTCGATCATAAGTATTAGACATAAAAATAACAAAGCAAACGTAAGATTAGTAGTATTAGCATGTCTGTAAGCGAGAGTTTCGTCTGTTTGCGGGTTGTCAGCTCTTCCGCACCCCAAACTTACCTGGAAAGTTGCAGGCGGCGACTTTTTGCCGATAAAAGAGTTGATTTGAAATGATTTTTCAGATCAATGCTCCTTAATAGATCATTAAAAGCAAAGCCTTGAGTGATGGTAGAGGAGTGGCAATTTTATTGGGTGTGAAACTCCCTGCATGCGAGCAAAACTAGAAACTGGAACGAGGCGCCCAACACACACGCGCGTGCACACCCTCACTGACTAACTTCACTAACAATACTGATCGAAACTTTACGGAGCTCGACGCTCTTGCCAGCTGTTGATTGTTCGTTCACAGGCTTCAGCAGGACACGAGCGATCATTTTCGCCGTTCGCATTCTATTTGACATCTCGTAGAACACGGAAACAAAGCTTAAGGAAAATTAAAGGGGAAACCATTTTCCTAACTTTACTCAACAGCGGTAAGCGTTAACCCAAATCCCAAAAGTCTTCGTAAGATCGAAATCACCGACATGTGGAACAGCCTCTCCGATTACATCGTTGGCGCTCCTAGTATGAAGGCGTTCAAGAATAGACTAGATAAAGCTATTAAAAAATATATGTTCAGATTTGAAATGCCTAGCACCATATCGAACTCGGCGGAAGTCTAGTTGCTATTTCAAACTATCGTCAGTCTTGAAAAGATCCGGTCAAAGGACACGATTTTAGATCTTCTGTGATCAAGTCGCGAAAAGTACATGAATCGGCGACAGTCCACATCAGGCCTACTCTTCAGCACCGATATCACTATGTTATGTAATGTTAAAATATTTCGTACTGTTCTAAATTCGACTGCGTTCTAAATTCATCGGAAGGGGAAAGGGGGAGTCCTGCAAAGTTCCTAAAAAACTTTAGGTGTGTACTCAAAGAGTGGGGGCACAGCTGCACCCAATTATTGACACTCAATTTTTAGCTTGAATTTACAATTTTATCCAAAATTTCGGAAATGCACTCAATTATATGAGAGCAGCTGTTACGGTACTTGTTCGCCCTATGTCCAAGATGAATTTTAGGCTGAAGCCGCACTCCCACGCAACCTATATGGACAATGCACACTGGAGATCGCAGGTAAGAAAAAGCTGTTTCTCAAACATTTCGGTACTAATTATCAATAGAATAACACAAGTTTTGTACACAGGAGCGGCTTAAGATAGCAAAAGTAAAGTTGTGTCAAATATTGAAGCATCTGCAACTGCTAAAGAAGAACTTCACTAGGTTCTGAAGACTACTTCTAATCTGTATTATTTCGACGAATTGAAAATTTTTGAATATTAAATTACTAGTTTTGGCCAACATTTGACTGCTCTCAGTTTATTGCGTGGAATCACTGGAAAATTTTTAGAAAAATCCGATGTCAATAGGTATTTATAAAAGAAATTATTTGAGTGTTTAGTTCCATGGCAGCTGTGGGTAATGCTGGGTGACTGTGGGCAATGACTACCCATAGCACAAAATAACGACTTAAAAACCTATTCGAAATGGGAGCACCACCAATTTTGTGCACCAATAAGCCATGAATCGAACGCCTTGGATCACTCCTGAGTCCTGACATCCACCAATCAGTCGTGTACCACTCGGCTTTGACTTCCTCCGGCCTCGCATAGAACCTGTCGTGCACCACCAGGCCGCGGATCGAATCTGACTTCCGGGCATCGTTAAATTGCGTAATTTTACGCAGATAGCATAGTTCTATTCAGATATCATAGTTTTATTCCAAAATATATCGTCCTTCGACAAGTGGCCGTTCGACCGAGGGCTGGTTCGACCCACGGCCTAGATACGGACGGCTTGAAGTGTTGAAGGCTACGTTCCGGAAGGCAGGAATCATGATGGTCCATTACATCCAGCGCAGTGGTGGGCAGTGGAAACTTCAAAAAGCTGGCGTTATAATTCGCGCAGTTGATGTTTTAATCAAAAATCCCAGGTTTTCATAGCGACGGCTTTTTTAAAATTCGTCGTCATTGTCCATTGCATCGTCTTCCACTCAATATTTTTTCACTTGTTTTACGCCTTCTATTTTGTTCCTCGTAACGTTAATTCTTTCTTATGTAAACCGCTGCCCCGAATCCCACATTTCGAAAACCGCTTCAAATATTGACAATTGCCTACAGTTAATGTTTAATTTTCGACCATGTATCGTGTCCAGTCAAGGGGCAGTAACAACACATGACGGTTCTATAAACATCGTAGCGTTTGAGAATCTCGTACTCTTGGAGTAAGCAAATCACTTCGGATAACATTGTTATTGAATCAACGTCGCGCAATGTTTTGTACAGTGCATCCAGATTACAATGAATTTCTCGGACACCATTTCTCCACGTTTTGCTAGCATCATATTCTGCATCATTGTACTGCCCCTTCTGTCATGGAGCGACATGGATGACCTTCCACAGGTCCAAGAAATATCGACATAACTATTTCGCAAAACCAACCCACCGACATACAGTAAATACCATTTCTTGTTGGTGCACGTAAAGGCATAAAAGACTTGCTTAAAAACAAGGCTCATAAAAAAATTTAATTTTAGAATTTTACAACTTTATTTTTCTTCTTCTTAGTGACGTTGGCAGAATCTGAAGGTGTAACCGGAGTAGCATCCTCCATGACCTCGAGCAGCTGTCCCGCCTTCAGTACCCCTGCCTTCAGTTCAGGCCGCTCCTTCTGTTCCTCCTGCAAGTAAGAAGTAGTCATGGAATAAATGCTAAGTCCACATGAGCTTAACCAACAATTAGTTAGGTTTTGAATGCACACAAAATTACGAACTAATCGCATCAGCATTTGGAATTTTCAATGCGCTATTTCTCATTGCACATATCGAAATAACGAAGGTGTTCCACATGTCATTAAAATAATGTTAGCACTGCTGGTGGCTACTCCATCTACAGGAAGTTCTAATTAATCGACAAACATATTTCGGGGGTAGTTCTTCATGAAGGTTTGCCGTTACATGGAAGTAATTTCTAGTAATAACTCATTACAAAAACCGCTTTCTTGGGCAGGCTTTGTTCAAATGCTAGTGACATCTTCTAAAAATTACTGTGACTAAGGAATAACACGAACCGTATTCCTAGGGCAGTCCTTGATCAAGTGCTGGTTGCTATCACAAAGTGTGCAGCCTCCTCCGTGCGGGTAGAGGCCCTTGGTGTTCTTGGGGCACTCCCTGCTGATGTGGCCTTTCTGCCGGCAGATGAAGCACGTGGCGTAGCTGAACTGCGCCTCAGAGCACGTGTCCGACTGGTGCTCAAGAGAGCCACACTGCAATATGAAGAAATGCGTGATTTTTCAGCCAATAATTTGTCAAGCCAAGGAAAAATGTTACTTATATCTAAACTCTTAGAGGCAAAATACAAGAGATAGTCGAATTAAGCTGAATGAAGCTAAAGATATACAAATATGCCACATTGAAAGAAAACAATAGAGAAATAATAAGCGTTTAAAAATTATTTTTTAAAGACAACACCTCTAAAGAATCCAGTGTCACCGATAATACACATGTACAACGAATTTATAATTTTATTATCATGTATTACAAAAATTAATTTTCAAATTTTATTTTTACAATAAAAAAAAATAATTTTTTTCAAAATTATTTATTCTGTCAATTGATTCATGCATTGCCTCGAACTTTATGCAGTGTGGAAATTTCAGATCGGTTGGACAGGTAGAAGTGTGTTAAATATCGATTATATTAAAAAAAAATTTCAAATAAAAATTTTTTTTTAATTACATATTCTGTCAATTGATTCATGCATTGTCTCCAACTTTACGCAGTTGTGCAAATTTTCAAGTCAATTGGACAGGTGGAAGCGTGTTCAATATCGATTATAAGATTTGTAGCAGACAGACAAACAAACAAGAAATGAAGTTAAAGAGAAGTGTTGTAAAATGATTAAAAGGAAAGAATAGCAATCCTGAAATTGATAAATGATTCATGACTAGCTTTTTAGACAATGATAATTATGGGATAGAATCCCCAATCCCCATACACTCATCTTGCCTCAGTAGAAGCCTGACAGCAAATAGATGTGGAGATATGTTGTTTATTTATTAAATACAACCAGTAGTCATAACACGGTGAGTAAAAATTACCCGTCACTAAAGCTATTTACCTTAAAGCAAGAACCGACACCCTGGACGTTGCGCTTCAGTGGACAATCCGCAACCATGTGGCCAGTTTTGCGGCATGAGAAGCAAACTTGACGGCGTTCTCTCTTGAGCTCGTTCTCTTCACGACGTCTCTCCACCTTGATCAGCTCTGCAATGCGCTCCTTAGCCGTGCCCTCGGCCTTCAATTTGTCTGTGAAGTTTTATAAGTTTAGAAGTATGTATTAGATAAGGTGTTCAATTTATAACTTTCCTGCACTATTAGCCTTCAACTTACTTGTTAAGTTATATAAATTTGAACGTTTTGATGGATTAGCAGCTCAATTTCTTTCTTTCCTGTATCTCCTGACATCAACATCTTTGTAACTTTGAAAAAATATGAGATTTCAAAAAGTAAAAAAAATTCTTTAAGACACATTTAAAGTCAAAATCTGACTTAACTAGTCAAAGAATAGGTATATTTTACTAGTGTCTACGCAAATATTTGTCCACTGTTATCAGCAGAGTTTTAATATCTTCATTGACACCACAAGAACAAGGCCATACAGTGAATAAAGTCAACAATCAAACTAAAAAAATACATCGTGGTGGTACACCTTCAAATTAAACTCCATGAATCAAGCTAAAAAATATGCAAACAAGAAACCTGAAGAGTCATCAGTAAACCAGACTTACTTTCAAGTTCATGAAGACGTTTGGCTCCCTCTGGTTTAATCCAGTAGCCTCTGAAGTTCACCAAACCATTCTTGGTGCGCACTGGGTTGAAGGTTTTCTTCTCAACACCTCTTTAAAAAAATACACAATAATATTTAAAAATTTGATGAATTATTTTTACTACTTATTTCTAAAAAAAAAATTATTAGGTATTGGAAGCAAGTGCTAAGATTTAAAGCTAATCATTCATATAAACTACAGGCCATCAGTTAAGATATTTGAAAGCTTCAGAATTAAAAACACTAATTGCCAACACGGTATATTTGATGAGAACAGTTTCATAACAGATATTTGTTTTACCAAGCGATCATCAAAACAATTTTAAATAGGTATTTACCTGAATTCCGTGAGTTTAGATTCATTAGATTTCTGAAATTTATTTACAGCACCAGTGCCAGTCTTGAGTGCTTTGCGCTCACTGCGGTGCAGCCGACACTTCTTTGTTTTCTTTCCCTTATTGAGAGTTTTGGACGAGTGCTTCTTAGCCACCCTCCTGAGGTATGCCATTAGTTGATTGGACAATTTGTTCAACTCGACCTTCAGAGCTGACTGTGAGCAAAATGATACATAATTAATTAATAAAGATTTTTTGTTCAAAAATACTGTACAAGGCATGATAATATATAGGTACTGCAATGTTAGTATATTGTCTTTCAATGATAGAAATTCATTACAATATTAAATTATGATGACATGTAAATGTAATCAGTTAAAAATTTTAGAATCAATAACAATAAGTTTCTATGTTGCCTGCAAATCACACACAGCATAAAATTAATCAATTTTTACAAACCTATAAATAGGATAACACTAAATTATGTAGACAGGTAAATATTCTTTATCTCTATTTAGAAATTTACCTTGAACTTCAAGTTCTCTTCCTCTGAGAGGGAGGTTGAAGTATTACCATCTGTTCTGCTAGCAATGATATTCTTTTTGACAGTGTCTTTCCAGTCTGCTATTGCACCAATCTTGCACCTTCTGATCCAGATGCCTTCCACACAGGTCATGAGCTCATTTTCCTTCATTTCTATTGAAGATTCACTGGCTTTGGAATAGATCAATTTTAATGATTTATTAGCATTCATAGTATCAGTAACTTCATCATCAGATTCAACTCCCTCATCAGCAGATTCCATTGCCTCAGTATTTTCTTCAACTGAACTTTTTGATGACATTTGCTTCTTAGACTTACAAATATTAATTCCCTCATCATCTTCATCATCAGTATTGCATGAATCATCTGACTCATCAATAGCATTGATTTTAGTTTCTACAAAAGAATGAGGCACACCATTGTAATCCATTTGTGAACCTTCTCTTTCATCGTCAGAGGCTTCATTGTCACTAATTTGGAAATTAAGATCCAGGCCTGCAATTGATGGAATGCTGCTTCCAATTGCTTTATTTGTAGCAGCTTTCTTTCTTTTGTCAGGACTTCTTGAATTCTTGCCACACGATCCAGATTCAGCATCATTCTTTGCTTCCTCTTTAGATTTAGATTCATTCCCTTTTATCTTTTTTGCAATAGATTTAGATTCTTTAGATGTTTGCTGCTTATTTTTGCAATCTTTTTTGCTCCAAACTTTCACTGGCGCAGTGTATGTGCCATCCTTAATTTGTTTAAACTTCTCTTCATAGAGTAATTCTTTGAAGAGAACCCTGTTGGCTTTCCGTAAGGGCTTCATCATCATTTTCTTTACCTTGAAAAAAAGTCATCAAAATGTTTATTAGTGACAAAGAAGCAAAGCATAAATAATATATTTATAGAATTATTTGAAACCAGCAACTGATAATGGTCTATACATTTCATAATTAACATCTTTTCATATTTTGCTAGTATGGAAAAAAGAGCAGAAAAACCAAGATATAAATAGTTTATCATATTTTTATATTAGATAGCAATAAGTTTCCAAAAGGCTAGAATGTTGCAATTTTTACAAATTATCAACACCTAAGTAAGTTTACTTTTGTTTTCCTTTACCTTAATACCATAGAAACAACTACATATGTAGGTACCTATCACAGAACTTACCTTTTCTCCACCATGGCCCTCCAGTTCAAGGCTTCTCTTCAGTTTATCCAATTCTGCAACAGATTCCCTTTTTACATAGAATCCATCATAAAATGTCATCCGTTCATTTTCTTTATACTTGACATCAAGCCATGGCCTTGAAACGCCTTGCTTCTTGAATTGCTTTATCTTTTGACCTTTTTCATTAATTGTAAAAAGTGCCTTTGCTTCATCCTTTTTTGAAATCTCTGATTCATCTGGTACTTCCTTCCAAACATTTGTTCCCTTAAGCACTGAATTTTTACTTTGATAATTTTTACTAACTCTACCACTAGAGGCCTTTGAAGAATTTTTATTCTTCTTGCCTGAATCAACTTTATCTTTGGTAACAGGAGCCATATTGCTGCAAATGCTGAAAAACAAAAGGAAAGAAGTAAATCACATGGAGAAAACATTCTGACTAATCAAGAGTAGCATTGAAAGAAAAGACAAGCACAACTCCAAAAATAGGTTACCAATACCAATTTTCTTCAAGGTACTGTATGTGCATATTGTTATTATCCTTGATGCATTATACAATTCTAAAGTTATACTTTCATACAAAACCAACAGTCCCATTAACTCACTCTCAACAGGCCTTGGTCAAATGTCAAGCATTTCTCAGCATGATGAGATCATTGAAATTTTACATACAAAAAACATTCAGCCTCATGAAATCGTAGTGAGTGCTTTGCTTCACGTACTACCATATAACAGAAAAGTATAAATAGAAACTAAAATTGCAGGATGTAAAATGAAAAGTAAAGAGTAAATTTGCCATAGATAAGCTAAGTTTTTAAAATTAAATTAATGCACTGACCAAACCCACCATCTATAGGCTGGAAAATGCCGGAACCAAAGGAAGTGGATGACAACATGACATTAATTGAATATAAATATAATTGGGAAAATCACATTAATTCAACATTTATTTCTTAACAAGACTCTTTTTAGAGTTTCTACCATTATCAAACCCAATTTTCAGCTGTTGACTATTACCAAGCATTGTAAAAATTAATACAAATGAATGTTGGCCTGAAAATATTTTATGAATGATAGAATACTATGTATGATTACTGTTTGGTGATCAATTCTCATGAGCTTAAACCAAGTCAATTTCATGTAAATCAGGCACTGCATCAGGCCCATGGTGGAATTATAACAAGCAGTAAAAATTCTGTGCTCAAAGGGAGAAATGTTTGGAAGGAAGTGCCTGATGAATCAGAGATTTCAAAAACTACTGAACCCAAGGCATTTTTTACAATCAATAAAAAAGATCAAAAGATAATACAATTCAAAAGGAAGCAAGGCTTTTTAAGGCCTTGGCTTAGTGTGAAGTATGAAGAAAATGAACGGATGACATTTTATGATGGATTCTATGTAGATAGAGAATCTGTTGAAGAATTGGGAATTGATACACTGAAGAGAAGCTTTGAACTAGAGGGTCATGGTGAAGAAAGGTAAGTTTGTTGATACAGCTTTTATGGCATTAAGGAAAAGGGAAACAAACGTAAACTGACTTAGGTGTTGAGAACTTGGAAAATTTAAAACATTATAGCCTTCAAGAAACTTATTAATACTTTATGCAAATATATGAAAAAATATTTATTTCTTGGAGTCTTTCTGTTCACCTTCTTTTTTCCATACAATTAGCAAAATATGAAAAGCTGTTAATTATGAAATATATCAACAATTATCAGTTTATTGTTCTAAATGAATACATTGATAGGTATATTATTTGTGCTTTGCTTCTTTGTCATGAATAAACATTTTGATGGCATTTTTTTGGGTAAAGAAGATGATGAAGCTCTTATGTAAAGCCAACAGGGTTCTCTTCAAAGAATTACTCTGAAGTTCAAACAAATTAAGAATGGCACATACACTGCGCCAGTGCAAGTATATGTAGAGCAAAAAAGATTGCAAAAATAATCAGAGAACATCTAAAGAATCTCATTCAAATGCAAAAAAGATGAAAGGAATGAATCTAAATCTAAGGAAGAGAAAGAATGATGCTGAATCTGAATTGCGTGGCAATAATTCAAAAAGTCCTGACAAAACAAAGAAAGCTGCTAAAAATAAAACAATTGGAAGCAGCATTCCATCAATTGCAGGCCTGGATCTTAATTTCCAAATTAGTGACAAAGAAGCCTCTGATGATGAAAGAGAAGGCTCACAAATGGATAACAATGGTATGACCAATTCTTTTGTAGAAACTAAAATCAATGCTATTGATTTCAGATAAAGATGACGATGAAGCCCTTACAGAAAGCCAACAGGGTTCTCTTCAAAGAATTACCTACTCTATGAAGAGAAGTTTAAACAAATCAAGAATGGCACATACACTGCACCAGTGCAAATATGGAGCAAAAATAATTGCAAAAATAAACAGAGAACATCTAAAGAATCTCATTCTAATGCAAAAAAAGAGAAAAAGAATGAATATAAATCTAAAGAAGAGTTAAGGAATAATGCTGAATCTGAATTGTGTGGCAATAATTAAAGAAGTCCTGACAAAAGAAAGCTGCTACAAATAAAGCAATTGGAAGCAGTATTCCCTCAAATGAAGGCCTGAATCTTGATTTCCAAATTAGCGACAATTAAGCCTCTGACAATGAAAGAAAAGGTTCACTAATGGATTACAATGGTGTGCCTCATTCTTTTGTAGAAACTAAAATCAATGCTATTGATGAGTCAGATGATTCATGTAATACTGATGATGAGAGAATTATTATTTTTCAGCCTAAGAAGCAAATTTCATCAAAAAGTTCAATTGAAGAAAAAGAAGGAATGGAATCTTGTGACAAGGGAGTTGAATCTAATGATGAAATAAATATTTATATATTTTTCTAATTTTGATTTGCATGCCTATATTGTTTCTGGCTTTGGCCTAAATTCAAAGCAATCTGTTATCAGCATCATTTCAATCAAGAGGTATAAAAAGTTCCATCACACAAAGCAAAATATGCAAAAACATAAGTAAATTAAAATGGGCAGAGAATTGGGAAAACTTAATGATTGCATATCAAATATGATATATATAAAAAGCATGTGTCATGATGATTTGATGACTTCTTTGTCAAGATTAGCAATTGAACATTACACCAAGGTGCAGAGTTTGGCAAATTAAATGTCAATTTTTACATTTGTAGACCACAAACGTTCCTGATAGTACCCAAGATGCATTGCTGCCTTGCCAGTAGTCTTCAAAATGCAATGACAAGTCTTCAAGATGCAACGCTGACAGTCTTCATGATGCAACGCTCACAGTCTTCACAATGCAACGCTGACAGTCTTCAAGATGCAATGCCAACAGTCTTCAAGATGCAACGCCAACAGTCTTCAAGATGCAATGCTGACAGTCTTCAAGATGCAATGCCAACAGTCTTCAAGATGGAACGCCGGCAGTCTTCAAGATGTGTTGCAAAAATTCTTCAAGATGTGATGCTGGCAGTCTTCAAGATGCTTTGCAAAAATTCTTCAAGATGCATTGCAAAATTCTTACAATACCAACTTTGATGATTGTATTTTCAACACCCCAGGACCAGGTATTGCAGTAGACAATTGCATTGCTACCAAAATTACCACTGGATCGTGCTTTGCACCCTCATCCAACTAACCAGAAACCGGAAATTTTAAAAACTATGCAGTCACTGGTGTACCTTGAGTCCTNCACGTTTTATGATTGGTTTAAAACTCTTCTGCTGCCCTTCTGTAAGAATTTGGAAGGTCACAAAGTGTTAATTGGAGATAACCTCTCCTCTCATCTGCACCAGGACGTATTTCAACTTTGCAATGAAAACAACATAAGCTTCGTCTTTTTGCCAGCCAACGCAACGCATCTTATGCAGCCACTAGATGTGGTTTTCTATGGGCCATTTAAAAGGAAATGGCACGAGACCCTTACAAATTGGAAGAAAACTTTTGGCAAGAACACTGCAACACTCCCAAAAGACTGGTTTCCACGCCTCCTCTCAAACCTCTTCTACTCGATCAACAATGAAGTCAAGCACAATATGAGCATGGGCTTTCAAGCCACAGGATTGTACCCACTTGACAGGGAGCGCGTGCTCAGGAAACTTCGCAGAGAAACCACGCAAGAAGATATTGAAAATACAAGGAACTTTGTCTCGCATGCTGTGCTTGAGAAACTCCTAGAAATCCGCTCACCACCCACTGAAGCCAATAATGTACCCAAACGAAGAAAGGCTATCGCGCTTACTCCTGGAAAGTCCCACACTGGGCCAAGGGCCAGTACTTCAGGTTCAGCAACAACACAAATCCAGAAGAAGCAGGGAGCAAATGTGAGGAAAGCGTTACAGTTCGACAAATATTCAGATGTTGAGAATGAGCTTGAATCAAATGATGGAACTGACCTTGCTGTTGCTCAAGACATGGCCGATCATCAAGATGAGATGCAGGAACCTGACAAGGACATCTCTAAAATCATCATTAATGAAGATGATTTTATCCTTGTTAGGTTCGAGTTAGATGGAAGGGTACAATGTGAGAAATTTTATGTTGCTTGCATGAGAGAACAACCACAAGACGATGACTGCGATGTCATGGTTGAATTCCTAAAGAAAAGCAGTGATACAAAAAAGATATCATTTGTCTACCCTGTTCAGCATGACATGGCTGCTGTTGGGCACCAGCACAGTTTACTTTCAAGTTGTTAAGTTAAGCGCAAACATTACTGTATGAAAAGGAAGTTCTTCTATTAGTTTTGAAAGTTTGTGTTACAAAATGGAAAAAATAGTTCTTGTTTTTGAAAAATGCATTTATATGTATAGGAATAAAGGAAAATTGGGAACAAATTACAGAAAACATCTTCTATTTTACATCTACATCATCAACAAAGGAAGAAGAGGACTTCAGAGTACTTTGTGTAATGGGTGAGTACATTCTGTATGCTGTAAACGTGTTAAAATTAAGTTTTATTGCAAGTGTCCCGAGTAGCCCCGTCCGACAGGCCTACTTGGGACACACTTTTTTTTGCTTCTGGCACCTTACGAATAGCATATGGAATTTTTTAGACAATGCCATTCGATAGCCCTCGCAAAGAGCTATAAAATGAGCCTAAACTTGTTTATGAAATGTTTCATCGTAAGAAGTTATTAACAGTTATCAACAAAAAAAGCTCAAAACTGTCCCGAGTAGCCCTGGTTGACGGTACTTGCTATTAGTTCTATATTTCAAATTTAATAATCATTAATTTAATTCTATATTTTCTCTCATGGCTGCAACTCCTAGAAAACTTTTTACAGATAACTCAATTACAGACTAATAAATGGGCCCAGATATTCATATAATGCAAGTTATTACGTTTTACTTATTTATACTCAGAGCTGGGCAGCGCTACTTTGAAATGTAGCG